AAAAGCCCAGAATGTCTCAAATGTTACGTTCGGGCGTCTAGAACACAAAAATTTCGTACGGACCCCGTACGACAGTGTTGTCTCAATCGGCCCAACTTTTCGGCCCCCCCCCCTTCCGGCCCCCCCTTTTGGACATTTCTGGATCCGCCCCTGAATGTAGACATTGTTGTACATCTCCATGGTAATGGTACCACACCAACATTACTTGCATCTTGCAACATTACTTGCATCTTGCATTACAACATTACTTGCATCTTGCAACATTACTTGCATCTTGCAACATTACTAGTTGCATCTTGCATTACAACATTACTTGCATCTTGCATTACTTGCATCTAACATTACTTGCATCTAAGGCTTCCATTCTTCAGTTTGATCTCTGTAGGAAAAAAAGTAATATCTATTAAGATTAAAATAAAATAATTATGAATGAATAGCAAGGTTAACTGAATACAATAATGAGAATGGTAAAATGACAAGACAAATATTTTGATTTCAATTGTAAAATGTGCTCAGCAACTTTTAAATACAATACAAACTACATGGGCAAGTTAGGATCATGGAAGATCATGCTACCATAATTATAATGAGGAACATACTAAAAAAAAAGATAATGCAGATTGCTGACAAGGGTTTTGAGTGGGCATTTATTCGGGGGAGGAATAAATTTAGCAATGTTACATTTAATGTATGGCAACCATATCATGGTATTATTCGCTGTGTTAAAGTTTACTTACCAAATTCTGCTCTCAAAATGCTTGGTGAGGCACTAATAATACCTCACTTAGATTATTGTAGTCAAATTTCAGGGGCGGATCAAGAGATGTCCAAAAGCCAAAAGGGGGGGGGGGGCAAAAGTTGGGCCAATCGAGACAACAATGTCCTAGGAGTGTTGTCTGGCGAAATTTGTGTTCTAGATGCCCGGAAAAAACGTTTGAGACGTTTTGGGCTATCGTTTTTTTCTCCCAAAAGGGGGAGGGGGCGGGGATTTGGTTCTTTATCTGCCCCTGGATTTGGTCAAACTGTAATAACACTCTTAAGTCAAAGATGCAAAAGCAGCAAATTGATTTGCAAGAATTTTACTAACAGCCAATGGAACTCCAGTTGATGATAGGATAACTACTCTTCATTGGCTTAAACTAAACAATCGATGGACAAACCAGATTTTACCGGTGTTAAATGTTTAAATGGTAGCGCCCATGAATTTTTATCTTTCAAATTCATCTTCACCCACTCCGTTCATTCTTACCCGACTCGGAATCAAATATCAAATATTCTAGTTGTTCCTCATGCAAATTTAAATTGTGGTGAGCGCACATTTCATACCAGAGCTGCTCATCTTTGGAACAACCTTTCTCACAACATCCGTAACAATTTTGATTCTTTGTCTATTAATAGGTTTTTAAAAGATGCCTTTTTATTCAGTAATACCTTTCCTTTTGTTTGGTTCAACTTGTAATTTTTCATTTTTCTGCTTTCATTTCAATTTTATCATTATCATTTCTTTATCATATCTTATCATTGTTTTTTTATTTACTTTTTATTTACTTATGTTTAAAGCTTAAATAAATAAAACAGTAAATAAATAATAATTTCCCTGTAATAAATGTGTAACTCCAACACATAATTACCTTCAAAATGTTGCGGATGACAATGATTCCAACCAGGTTAGAAAAAATGTAATTATACTGGAGTAAAATAATAATAGAATGTGTTGAGAATAATTATTAGTTTTGTTTACAGTCATTTAGCTTGGGGGACATTCATTCAAGGGGAAAAATATATGTATCTGGGCATTTATTCAAAATGAATCTCCAAATACAGTATGACAAGTTATAGCTACACATTGACGTTTCATGATGTAAATGGAAAATAGCCTGTTAACATTAGTTATGTTTACAGTCATAAAGTGGGGGAATGTTTATTCAAAGGAAAAAATACATGTATCTGAGGATTTATTCAAGGGAAGCATATATTTCAATGTGGCCCCAAATACAATCAGTTAGCTACACATTGAAGTTTTATATCTTTTACAATGTCATACAGTAGATGGGCAGATCCAATATTCAAAACAGGAGAAAAGAAGGAAAAGTTGTCTTTTGTAGAGTCTATTTTTGGTAATCCAAATCCACTTTAATCCAGTTAACATATGTCGTGGGTCGAACAAATACGTCAAAGAGTAGACCATAGACTGCATACGTTGTTTAGAACGTTTATTTGGAACACAATGAAATGAACGAACCATGGAGCAATATAAATAGTATAAAAGGGAACTAAACAAAAACAAAAGGAAAAACCCCTGCAATGCACTCGTCCAGAGGCTACAAACAAGAAATCTCGAACAAGAAACGATCGGCAGTTCTCACCAAAATAATCACAAAACTTCAAAATCACAGTACTTCTGCGCAATCAGCTAATATGTTACAATACTCTGCTTTCTTCTCTGCCTTAGACACGTCTTGTCTCTCTCGTGGCAGGTTCTCAACTTGCTTGGCTTGTTCGAAGAGGACGCGCTAGTCGTATGACAAGGACGCTAAATAAACAATCGCTCCGCCGATGTCCAGACGGACACGACATAAATAGTAAATAAATATTCCTACTCAAAATAAAATAAACCCCATACAAGTTACGATGGTTCCAGTCTCTGACACGTAGTTGTGTTTTATACCTAATATTTTGTTAATGGTAGAGAAACTTAAAATATAAGGGTTAAACACTGCCACTCAGTCAGGCAGTTATAGCCTAGTAGTGAGTCATCTTTTGTTGATCATGTTGCAGCTAAATGGATTGGATGTGACACAACAAAAAATCTACCAGTACAATAGTCACACACCTGACAAACTCATCTGTATATAACATCAGTATAGCATCAGTGATCAAAGTGGATCTAACATCACATCTTTAATTGTATAAGTCAAGAATAAGAGGTGAACTTGGTGAATATATACAAATACAATACAATACAAATCAGTCTTTTTTATTCTAAGCTCTTTGAATACAATTAAAGCCCTGGTCCCCAAAGGGGTCCAGATTTGGTAAATATATTTTATTAATTAATACACATAAAAATAAAAGAAAGGATAAAATAAGGGTACAGTAAAAACGATTGATTGATTGATTCATTCATTCATTCTTTCAGGTATAAATAACTTTACAAAACACTTACAAAAAAAAAAAAAAACTTAAAAAAAAAAAAAAAAAAAAATACTAGAATGAATATATATATTTTTTTTGTTTTTTTTTTGTTTTTTTTTCTGTACAGCGCATGGAGACCATGTATTGTGCGCTATATAAGTCTCCAACCATTATCATTTATACAATACTCAACCCGTAGAGAAATTCAACAAAACTGTACATACAAAAACAAAACATTTAGTATTAACACACAGGATTAAATATATTAAAATTAGTGTTATCAAAAATAGTTTCTAATATTTCTACATTATGTACATCTAATTACAATATTGCATTTTTTAAATAAAAAACATTTCATAAAATAAGATAAGATAAGGTAACAATATTCATGTACTTTGTCTACATATTCATCATTTATAACAACCGGATCATGAACAGATGGATTTCTTCTGAAATCATATACTGTATGAGCTCTTTCGTTTTCGTAACATTAAAAATTAAAAAGTGATCCTTACACCATGTAGCAAACTTCTTGATCTCATTCAAGATCATATATTATATATTTATAAATATAAAACCAATATAGACATTATCAATTACCAATATAGATCATATATATTTATAAATATAAAACTAATATAGACATTATCAATTACCAACATTGATCATATATTATATATTTATAATAAACAAATATAAACATTAAAATTTGGAATATTAAACCAAAAAAAAAAAGAATGCATCTCTGAGCAATTAAAAATTTCACAATGGATGGGATGGCAGAACATTTACATCTTTCAGTCTTGCATTTAGATTAAAAATTTGTGGAAGCGGTTTGGCGCAGCAGGAACGGTTTGGTTTCCCAACCTAGAGGTCGGGGTTTCCATCCCTCACTGTGCATTTCGTTTGCGTCCTTGAGCAAGGCACTTTATCTACATTGCGTCTCTCCACCCAAGAGTATAAATGGGTACCTGGTGGGGTTGCCTGCTACTGTATGACCCAATGAGGGACAATAAAGCGGAATAGGCACTATATAAATACTAAAATAACAAATAACCATTTGATCTAAGGATTAACTTTCTCTTACATCGAGCAAATCTTTGGAGTTACTGATTTTATTAATTCTTGCCCAAATGAGAGGACAAGACTTTCCGTCTTTTTGCTTTAAGAAAATGTAGCCTTGCCTCCTTTAATGCAAGATTATAAGATATACAATTAGTTCCAAAAATAATTCCCAAAAAAATAAATTATAAGTCTTAAAAATCAATTATTTTTTGGTAATGTTTACGAATATATTACTGAAAGTCATTCCAGAGCATTGATGCTCGGTATTGGAAACTGCTCTTTCCATAAATATTGTTCCATGTTGGAAACATTCAAGTATTAATGATTAGCTTATAGTGTCTTTTGGGTGGAATAATAAGCAGTCAAATTTTATCAAATATTATCAAATTTTATTCATACAATATTAAATTCATTTGATATTATTTTTATAAATACACATTAGAAAGAAAATTCCAATGGCTGACCTGTTAAACAATTTACCTGTATTATGAAAACCTGTTGTAAAAGCCTATTACACACTTTAGTACAGGTTAATAGGGGTCTAATATACAATACACTTTCGAAACCCTTTAAAAAGGGCGCAGATCTGTTTGAAAGGTGAGGGGGACATTCGTGAGACCATATTCACCTCAGCCCCACAATGGTTGGGGCTGAGGTGCAAAAATTTGAGGAAATAGTACCTCTAGATGGACGGAATGACACTGTTATATAGTAAAATTCATCATCACATCTTCATTATTTCTATGATCTTTTATCAGCAATTAAAACTTTAGACTTAAAACTATTTGAGGAAAATAAAACTTAATTGTCTTTGATGTATTTACTTTATTTTACCTACTTCGTATGACGTAATCTTATGCTTTTTCTCATGCTTCTCAATTTATAAGAAAAGCATGCACACTCGAATTGTATATTATAGGTAATTCAGACGTTAGTGATACCAGTATCTTGCTATAAGATGCACAGTACCGTAATGACAGCACTGCACTCGGACTGTACAGCGCATTTTCGTTAAAACCTGAATCATTTATGCAGTTCATTTCAAAAACTTTCAGGCATCATCTTAACTATGAAATTACATTGCAGTCGAAACTTTGAGGGGACCACCCCCCCCCCTCAAAAATATGTGGGATGACGTGTCTCCCGTCCCCTTTAGAATCTGCACCTATGCATTTAAATAACTTAATAACACACTGAAAAAAAAAAAGAAATTGTGCATATAATTGCCAATCAATGATTAGATTGGCATTGCAATTTCTTATACAGTATGTTCTTGCAAACTTTCTTAGAATCTCAAGCTCCTGTTTGTACCTCAGATGATCAACCTGATCTATATATAAACTGTCAAAGACCTTCCTAAGAAGTTGAAAACCGCTTCCATAGTCGTGTAATTTAAGATAGCTAGCAAAAAGAGTATAATTAGCCAGAAACTGTTGATCAGGGTTTTTCTTCAATAGGTCAATTGTTCCAAGTAAAACCTTTATACTATTGTGTTAATGGCGTAAAGTGCTACAACTCCAACCCGTTCTTCATCACACCCATTCAGGTGAAACAATTCCAGTGCCTTATTTAAAGCAATTGCTGCATCTGCATGTCTCTGCACACGAAAGAGTGCAAGGCTAAGGTTACAATACTGCGAAGCAATTAAACACGAAGATTCATCAACCATTTCCAATGTCACAATAGATAAATGGTTAAAGTCAATGCTCTGGTTTAATTTGCCTTGCTTTATGTATTGGTATGCTGCCAATACTGAAATGTTTGCCAGATTCACAAGATCCCATATACACAAATAAGAGCTGTTGAGTGTGTTCAAATAAGAATTGTTGCTGAGGATGTTTTTTGTAATTTGACAACATGTTTCATGTTCCTGTATCTCATAGTAACTAAAAGCAAGGAAACAATTAGCCATAAATTGATGTACATCATCTTTTTCCAATAGATCAACAGCTTTGCGTAGAACATCTATGCTATCGTTATATTGGCCACAGTGATAGTAGGCTCCCCCAAGGTAAAATGCTACAAGCCCCAAATCTTCTTCACCACATTCATTCATTTTAAGAAATGTCCAAGTCTGGTTAAAAGCAAAAGCAGCATGTCTATAAAATGTCCCTAGGTTATAGAACATAAGCCCAATGTGGAAATAGAGTGATGAAATAAAACATGAATCTGTTTCAAGCATTTTCAGTGTATTGAGAGACAAAATACTGAATTGGATGGTCATATTAATATTACTTTGACTGATATATGTATCAGCTGCTTTGAGGGCTAAGTCTGTCAGAGCTTGAAACACATGCTTTTGTTTATGATAATCAACTTCATAAGAACTGTTGAGGACTCTTTGAACAATTTGAAAGCAGGATTCATAGTCTTGTGTCTTATAATAACTATCAGCAAGTAACCAATCAGTCATAAGTTGGTCATCATGACTTTTCAGTAGACTAGCTGACTTGAGTAAAACATTTATGCTACCATGATATTTCCCATGGTTATAAAAGGTCGCTCCAAGCTCTAAAGACAAAGATACCAAATTTTCTTTGCTACAGTTCTGATTTTGATATTGTTGTTTATAATATGTCAGGGCCTGACTTACAACAAACACAGCATATTCTTGAAACATCATGTTGTTGGATAAGATGCCAAGGTCAAGCAGACTTGTGGCAACAAAGCATGGGTCTGTTTTGATCAATTTCAATGTCCTAAGCAATAAATTGCTAAATTCAATATTCAGAATTAATTTGCCTTGTTTGAGGGATTTTGCTGTTGCATTTACCGCAAAGTTTGCCAGACACTTAAGAAATTGATTATTGTCTTCTTTAATTAGTTCAATTGCTTGATGTAGATAATCTATGCTTTCAGTATATTGACCAAGGTCATAAAATTCAAGTCCTAAGTGAAATGCTATAATGCCAAGCCATAGCTCATCACGTTCAGTTAATCCATAATGAACTAGAATTTTTTGTACGTTATGTTCCCATATTGGTTGCTGTAATGTCATGTTACTATGATCTGCCATAATAAATGAAAGCGATCCACATTTAAGTGAATTTGTTGTCATATAACAAGAACCAAACATTGTATGTTGTATCTTTGAAAAACATGAATTATCCTTAGCAACCAATCTGGTGAATTCACTGACAACAGGATGCATTCCATACAATCTTTGTCCACTTGGAATGTCAAATGTCTTCAAGAGATTATAGTTTACAAGTGGATAAAGGTCAACTTTTTTACTGAAGTTCAAGTTCACTACAGTATCGGTACTGCTCCGATCCAAAAAGATCCCAAAAGCAATAAATGTGTTTTGGAGAGATGGATCAAGACCATCAAATAAAATCTTAAGGAGCTTGTAATAGTTACTAGACTCTGTCATGTCTTTGGTGTCATTGAGAACAACTAATATTGGCAGTTCTTCCAATCTATTCAGTAATTCAGCTTCTTCATAGTACTTGCTACGTACTAGACTTGCAGCTACTTCCAACAACAAAGGAATCCCACCTGTTTTCTCTGCTATTATCTTAACTAACCTCTTTTGTTGAAGTCCTGGCAAAAGTGAAACCAATACACCTGTTGACTGTGATATTGGCAATGGTTCCAATTTTATTGGATATATCGACACTCCAATGATATCAAAATCTTTTCGAGATGTAGTAAGGATTTTGATTTTGTTAATTGCCAAACATAGTTTTGTTACTTCGTAGTATAATGACTTTGATGTGGAGTTCAAAATGTTTTCTATATTGTCAAAAATGAGAAGTGTCGGACATGTTGTTAGTTTTATCATCAGCAATTTAAATTCTTGCACTGAATTAGGCACAATTTCCAATTCGAAATCTATCGACAAAACAATATCTTTGTAAATATATGTTCTGATGCAACTGGAACTCACATTTATTTGTTTGAAATCAATGAAAGCCACTTGATAACCATGATTGTTCTTCAAGACTTGTCCTACTGCTGCTGCTGTTGCTGTTTTGCCAATTGCTGGTGGACCAGTAATGCTGACCATTGGATAAGAACCATTGGCCAGAACACCCACACCTGTGTTTATTTCATCATCATGGCCTATGTAATAGCTAGGCTTCCGTGACTCAGGGAAGAAACTTCTAGAGTTACTACATGTTGTTCTTGTACACATATCTATGTGGTCACAGGTTGGATGTGAAACTGGGTTAAATATTTCGTAAAACATCATAACTCCCAAAAGGATTAACATGGAATATCCATATTTTCGTGGAAAACTTTGTGACTGCATAAGAAGCCTTTTAATTATATCCAGCTTTGCTTCCACTCCCTTCATGTAATCTTCGGGCACTTTTATAATTTCATTTTTGACATCTTCCATTTGTTTTTGCACATAGCTGGAACAGTTAAGGCCAATCATGCACTTCTCAATATCTTGATAGATGGCTTTGAATGCTGTGTTACTTATCGATGCTCTGGAATGATGCCCAATGTACTTATTTCTTATTTGTCGTAGTTTATCAATTTGTTGGCGATGTGCTGCCATAATAGTTATGGTTTTAGAGTACAGTAGAGCATAGAATAAGTTAGTTGGATCCCACTCATTGAGGTCCCCTGACATGGGGGCCTTCAAATCTTTCCAAGTACCAAGTTTGTTGGCTTCTGTTTTCAGGTAAAGAAGACTGTTTTTGTCATCTTTCCAGGGTTTGCTTGGATGTTGGGTGTCCCATTCTTGTCTGAAAATATTCCTGAGATGTTCAGTGACAATATCAAGAAGGATGAATGCCAGCTTGTTAAAGTTCTTGTTTCCATGTGTATCCATGGTGGCTGGTTTGGTTCCTGAAGTAATCTCTGTATGGGAAGAAAGAGGAAAATGTCATTTTAAATCTTAACTAATTAGCAAGATAAGAAATACTGTCTACTACTGTGTATAAGGTATAAATTGTATAGACAATTTTAACCTTGAAATTTGGGGGGGGGGGGTGGAGGGTGGCAGCACCCTATACAGCCTATAATTCTAGAATGCGAACCATGACAAAAATCAGACGACAAACGTGTCTCCCATAGCAAAATTACCTTAGTAGATTTAGGTGCTATATGCAACCACTCCGATTTCGGTGGAGTAACAGTTTATTTAAGCAAAACTCCCGCACTCCGATTTTTGGTCGAAAATCTACACATTTCGGCCACCAGAAATAAATCACGCATTTCTGAATAATAAAATCCTATGATTTAGATAAAAACAAGAAGACCAGTTAATTTTGTGCTGAACAGCGCTGTGAACTGTATACGAAAAAGTAACTCACACTCCCCGTTCTACTGATTTAAAAAAAAAAAAAAAAAATTTCATTGGCCTAATCACTGTCAGAGTTGTACTCTGAACTGTATACGAAAAAGTAATTCGCGCTCAACAGTCTACTGATTTTGAGAAAACAAATTTCATTGGCCAAATCGCTGTCAGAGTTGCACTGCACACTGAATTGCATAGTGCTCCATGGTCAACAACAGTCTAGTTAAACCATGAGTTCCAAAATGGAGTCCTATGAGAGCGATATTAATGTAGGAATAGGCAGTGCTTGAAAAACAATTAGAAGTTTTAGCTTCCTCCAAAAAAGAAGCTAAAACACTCAGTTATAACGGAATATATTCTGCCATTTTGAAATCAAAACCAAGTTCAAAGTTTAACAATACTCCTCTCACATTGCCAAAACTCCACTCAAAAGGTTTTTAGACTCCTCTTGTTGGCTTTGTAGAATTGGCATGTCTGCATATCTATTAGCTTAATAATTATTAGTAGACAATGCTTAATAGAAATATTGTAGTGTAGCTCAATTTTATACTAGCACCTATAGCACATTTTTAGATCATTTTTTTTGTGTGTTTTTAATTAGTTCTTAGTAGGCAAGTGACTCATTTACATTTCGCAAAGCCAAAACTATTAACAATGTTTACTAGTCCTATTGTACTACAGTACTTTATTATTGTGGATTTTAAATAGATAGCTGGTAGTTTTATAGTTAGATAATAAACCACAGTACTATAAATAGATTCACCATGGGGGTATACAAATATTTTTGTACCTCCTATTTTTATCACAAATAAATCACCAATTTAAAAATTTAGGAACACCTATTACACTTATTAAGCAAAAAAAATAGACTTACAATGAATTTAAGCTATAAATCCAGTCCAAAGTCCCCAAGGGGTCCAGATTTGGCAAATATGATATAAATTAATATACATGAAAATGAAAAAAATGATAAAAAGAAATACAGTAAAAACAATTAAAATATAATGCACAAAAATAAGAAATAATAAAAAGTTTAAAAATCAACATTTTTTGAGGTAATGTTCATGAAAATTTATGTCTGGATGTATCGGAAATTGATTGGCTTCTAATATCTTTCCAGTAGATAATAAGCAAACTGTTACTCAATTTAATCGAATTTTATTAAAATTTAATCATTCAAAATTGAATTAATTTGATATTATACTTTAAAAATACACATTAGTATGTTTACATTGTCACGTATGAGCGACAGTGGTTCAGAAAGGGAAGATAACGTTCAGAGATGCTAGACAATAAAAACAAAGTACTCCGGACACAGCATCAAAGTAGTCAATGTAATCGTTTAATGGTTATCATCGGTTGATCAAGCTGAACAACGTGCCACATAAGACAAATCTACCATGGATATTCTTATGAATACTCCGGTTACTTAACCAGTACTATACATTGACTATGCAAAACAAATATCGTTATGTTTTCTGAACCAAACAAACTATTTTAACATCTCACAAGATAAATTATTACGTTCACCAAGACGAATCATACCTCACTATAACTGAGTGGCCAGTTAATACCATACATAGGCAATATATGAGTACACATTAACAATTATTCCGAGTGGCAATAGAATAATACCATACATGAGCTATATCAATATATGAATATACATTAATACTTATTCCGATTAGCAATAGAACAATACCATACTTGGGCTATATCAATATATGAATATATATTAATAATTATTCTGATTAGCAATAGAACAATACCATACATGGGCTATATCAATATATGAATATACATTAATAATTATTCTGATTAGCAATAGAACAATACCATACATGGGCTATATCAATATATGACTATACATTAATAATTATTCCAATTAGCAATAGAATAATACCATACATGAGCTATATCAATATATGAATATACATTAATAATTATTCCAATTAGCAATAGAATAATACCATACATGGGCTATATCAATATATATATGTTAATAATTATACGAGAAAAGATACAATGTCCAAGTTCGCTGTTGAGCATACATAATCGGTAGACGGACTTCTGTTCTCAACTACGGTTTATATTCCAGTAGCTACCCAGTGCTAAAACTGCATGAGAAAATTACGGACGAGGCAGAGACTATGATACGATTCTTGCTACTCCACCGACCTCTAAGCGATT